TGAATCGAGAAAATGCTTAAAGGAGCCTATAATAATTTTATTTCAAATAGAAACAGAATAATTAGCAACTTTTTGTGTTGAAATTAATAATTTCATGCTAAAATTGCATTTTGAAAGATAAAATTTTTTCGTTTTTAGTTCCGATATATCATGTATTACTTGTGATTGTGATGAAAAACTTGAGTGTCTAATAATAGAATTTAATCTAGAATAGACAATAAAAAGAAGGAAATGGCAATCTGATAAAATTTGAAATGAAATTAAAAGTTGACAACACGGGAAATTTTGACAATGGTAGTTCATAAACGTTTGCAGTAAAATTCCTGACATTTGTAGTTGAATTTACTTTTCTCTCGGTTCATGTTGTGCATTTTTGTAGATTAAATTCTTCAACAGTGACTATTATTTCAGAACCGTTTAATCAGCCAGCTGGGCCACCACGTTTCCTGAAATGTCTGCGTGATATATGGGTACCACTGGGTGAAGATATTGAATTTGAAGTTGAAGTGAGTGGTTATCCACTCTCGGAATTAACATGGTATCATCTGGATGAAAAAGTTCATGAAGAAAAGAATATTCAGGTATTGGTTAGTTGAATTGTCCGAAATTTGAACTTTTATTTGTTTCATTTCGGTTGTTGTTTTGATTCAAAGATTACAGTATTGCTTGTTAGTCATAAATAATTCATTTTCTTTTTACAGATTTCATATATTACTCCAACCAAATGTCAACTGAAAATAACAAGTCTAAGTGTGTCTCATCTTGGTACCTATTCGGTCGAAGCATCAAATATCCACGGTATTGTGCGGACAACTGCATCACTGAATGTTGGAAAAAAACTTTCCGAAGTGGAATCACCAAAATTTCCTGAAGGTTTCACTTTTGGACCTTCTTTTTAAATTTGGACAATTTATGGAAATCAAATTAGGATACAAAAGAACAAGAATTTTCACCAACTTTTCGGAAGATATATCACAATTTGATGTGCACCGCATTGATTTACTTGCAATGTTTCTAAATAAAAAAAAAAGTTTTATGTTTTGATCAACCTGCCTTCAGATTCCAAGGAGAAGCTTACAACAGTTTTGCCACAAGATGCGTCATCAGAGAGACCAGGACTCCCCGCGGCTGGAATGCACCGAGTAAGTTCAGTTATAGTCTTCATTTTATATTAATTTCTATCATAGCATTTAAATATTTTTCCTTTTTCATTTGCGAAATCTTTTCTTTTACATAAGAAGTGCTACCTCTCTGTTCTATTGCCTGTTAGTTTGAAAATATTCAAACGATTAAAAATTTGAGAATCATAGAAATAGCAATTTATCAATTCCGTTTAATTTTTAAACAGAAAAAACAAATTAACTGTCTCAGCAAATTAAACTACATCAATCACATTTAATAAATTCATTGCTTTTGCAGGTTGGAACTCGTCTGGATGTGAAACGGAAAGGCGCCGCACCAGCATTTTTAATTGGTTTAGAAGATCTTGAATTTCGTGAAGGTGATGCAGCTGCACTGGCTGGGACTGTCGCCAAAAGTGAGAGTTTGATTTTGTTCTTTATGAGAGAGTTTATATTTTCATATAAATAATTTTTCTGCAATTTTTTTCTCTTACTTTTTCTCAGGACGACGACATCGTATCCATGGCAGATCAGATGGGAAACGTATCAAACAATTTGTGACATTAAAAGACATGGAAATTGATGCTTCTGCTTCTAGCAGTTCACTAGAGCCACAGATCGAAATTACAAGTCAGTTGATTGATCTGAATTTTTTTCCAGATAATAATTGCTATAGTTCATTGTGTTACTTCGTTCATGATGCTATCTACTTCCACTGATCTATCTTTTTTTCAAGGAAAAAAATAATACCTCCAGTTTTCTTTACAGCACTAGAAGAAATTCGAGCATCAATTGCTGAACGAAATAAAAATATTTGTCGGCCGAAATTCATGGTGAAACCGAAACCGAAAAAGTCAATCGCCGAGCATAAATCACTCAGGTTGAGGACTGCTATTTCGGCTAATCCAGTGCCAGTTGTACGTTGGGATAAAGCTGGTATTGTGCTGGAAACTGGTAACAAATATTCCATTTACAATGACGGTGATTTCTATTATCTTGAGGTAAGCTGTGGTTTGAATAGCAAATTTAAATTTGCTGTAATTTATTTGCTAGAGGATTAAAGTTGAAATTGTTGGAGTAATATTGATAAATTTCCATGACTTTAATGTTCACTCATATTGCCATTTCACCATGTGCGTAAATGGAAGTTATTTGCATGTCTTTGGATAGTTTGAAATTTAAAAATCTATTAGTTTGTTTATGATCAATTTTCATTTCTTTAAAAAAAATTATCACAGGTACATCACGTATCCAAGATCGATGAAGGCTTCTACAATTGTTCCGCGTCGAACACTGAAGGTTTTGTAACTTGTACCGCTGAAATTGAAGTCGTACCCGGTGATGGTACAAGAAGACTACGGAAAGGATTGGCGGCACCATCGTTCATTGAAGTGTTACCCGGCAAATTCAAGGTAAACAAAACTTTGTTTGAGCATAATTTTGGAATTTTTGGCAACTTTTATATAATGTTTTGTTTTGTTTTCGATTTCAAATAATAGAACTGAAACTATTAATTGCGATATGCCCATTTTTTTATAGGCGATAAACGGTGACCCGCTATCAGTAGAGTGTAGCGTATCAGGTTATCCGGCTCCAACAATCCAGTGGCTTCGAAATGGTAGCATACTTTTACCTGAGCATGATCGCTATCTGATATCATATGATGGTGAAACAACAACACTTAACTTCGTTAGCATTGCTGCATCAGATACTGGAAAATATGTCTGTATTGCAAAAAATCAAGAAGGTGAAGCTAAAACAGCAATGCAACTTGATGTTGAACCAAGAAAGATATCGCCAACTGGTGGTACACCACCGAAATTCCGTTCTGATGGACGACGAGAAACAGTCAAAGCAATGGATGGTGACAAAGTGGTTTTGCTTGCTGAACTAATTGAAGGTTTGTTATGGTTTACTGCAATGTAGTACCTTTTAAATTAATAATATGAGATAAATGCAATCCATTCAATCTTTGAAATCAATCAAGGGCTTATGCAAATTAATGGACTCTTTCTTTTCAATTCAATTTAATGAACTTTTTTCCTTTTGCTTTAATTTAATTATTGGATTTTTTAATCCAATTTCTTTTGTAGGTTCGGAACCAATAACGATACAATGGATACGTAACAAAATGGAAATTCAAAACTCCAGTGGATTTGGATATTCGCGCGAGGAGGCGAATTGTTATTTGACAATAGCAGATACATTCCCAGAAGATGCGGGAGTGTACACTTGTGAGGCGAGAAATGAATTTGGTGTTGCTAAGTTTAACGTTCGCCTCGTTGTTACAGGTAGATTAATCATGTCGTAAAAGGAGGAAAATCGCGGTTCCAGTGGAAATAGGATAAGGTGCTAGTATAGCTAATGTAATTGGGAAATTTATCAGTTCTTGAAGAAGGAAGATTCAAAAATTTCCATGATTTAAAAGTCATGAAAGGTTGTATGGAAAAGTCTTAAAATTAAGATGATTAAGATAGAAGTATTGGTTCTACGATTTTATTCACTCGATGAGTTTGTCAAAAATAATTTAGTTAATATTTTAAAAAAAGAAATACTTCAAGAACGTAAAAAGCAAAGCGGTTATGAAAATCCACCGGTTATTGTAAATGCACCAACAAATATGAGCGTTGAACATGGGAATGATTTGATCCTATCAGTGACAGTACGTGGATATCCTGAACCAGCAGTTATATGGACTAAAAATATGGTTTCAATCGCTTCTGGTGAAAAATATCAGGTATGTTATTTGTTGCAAAATATTTAGATGAATGTCACTGATTCAGTCATATCATAGGATACGAATTTTCATTCATTTACTTTGATTACTTAATCTTCTATACCAGATTTGATTTGGTTAACTTGCATGTACCCCACATCTATAGAACAATAGTTTGTTAGCTTAAATGCTTGGTGGAGGATAGTTCAAATATTTGATAAATAACTTTGGAATGATAGAAATTATTCAAATGACTTCGAAACTTCTGCATTGTTCCGTTATTTCATAGATTATTTGCATATTTCATGATAAATTAAAAGGTTTTTTTTCTCAGATGGCAAACAACGGAGACATATTCACATTGACAATCCGTAATTGTACCAAGGAAGATCGTGGTAAATACGAATTACAAGCGGTCAATCTTTCTGGTACCGCTAAAGCGATAATCGCTGTTGACGTTACTGAAGTTACAAAGTAGGTCTTTCGCTGTTAGTTTTAGATTAATGGAAATTGAATGATATGCCAAAATAGTTTTCAGTAAGGTACTTTCAATTCTTCCTACATGATTCGGAAATTTACATTTGATAAACGAAAATTTATATTTTTATTCTTACGTAAAAAGATATGTTGTTTCATGCTACATTTACATTGCATTTATTCACTTGGAAGTAATTTCTAGTTGAAAACTTTTGCACGTGGATTTTTAATCATGTTCATGGTTGTCTGTTTATTTTTGCATTCGTTTTCAAAAATTAACGGTTCATTTCAGTCTGGATGCTGTTATGCCAAGATTCACCAAATTGCCAATTTCGATTCAAAGTGCAATCGGACAGAAAGCGAGCTTAACTTGCAATTTTAAAGTGCGTAATACTGCTTATTATTATCAATTATTGGGAAACTGCCGGTCACGGGATGATTTCCGATCTTTGCAATCACCGATTCTTTAACCATTGAATGAACACATAGGTTAATTAGATGATTGACAGCATGGGATTTACCTCCAAATGATATTTGGTGATATTTTTCTAACTGTTTGATAGTTTCATTCTTTTAGCTCTCTTTGAAATTCTTCCAATTTAATTTCACATAATCGTCTCGGCACCACACGAAGGTAAATCTGTTGTGATTTTTATAATTTATGTCATATGCCAATTATTTTAGGGTTTACAATCGACAGTAACATGGTTTCATGACGATAAGAAATTAGTAAGTGGACGTCATGGTATTGAAATTTCATCAACAGCAACAACATCAACTCTCTCAATTTTGCAATTAGCGGATGAACATCTTGGTGAATATCTTTGCGCAGTACGTAATGAATATGGCGAAGATTTGGCAAAAGCAGCTATCTTTCTTGAAGGTTAATTTTGATTCATAATATTTCGGTATATTTTGTACGAATACATTTTAATATAATATTTTATTTATCGCAATTCAGAACAACAGGCTTCTTTTTTGAGGATGGTTTTTTTCAAGCAAAGGCAAAAATATATGCCGTTTAAATGAATTAGAAAATGGAAGTCATATGTAATTGTAAAATTATATATTTTATATGAATTTTTCCACTTACTCTCGTAAATTTGTTATTGAAAAGAAGCTATTTTCAGGTTCATCAGTAGCGTTATCTTTGTTAAATGGTAATTAAAATGAGAATGATGGATCGCTTACTTACTAAGAAATTTTATTCACTTCTTGATCTCACTGTCTATCTGAAGAATGTTACAATAACGAAATATCAAACTATCTAAACGATGTACACTGAAAAGACAGAATCTAAAGAAGAGCACACACAACACATATATATGTGCTATCTATCGGTTTGTATCATACTAACGCATAATTCAACAATGTACATTAATCTCTTAATAATAACAGGTGCTTGCGCTTCCACGGATCGGTGTATATCATAATTTTATGCACGATCTATTATTGTATAACTATTGTTTCTGTTATAGGAGAAGTGCGCACCCCATAGATAGATATATTGTCCGCGGCAAGTGTTACATTTTTTTTTTGTTTTCATAAGATACTCTTCGAATGAACAATCTCAGTTTTGTTTTGTTAATGATTCAATAATTTTTGCAACTGACCTTAGTAATAGTAGTAGTAGTATGATGATGATGATGATGATGCATGGAAGATTAACATAAATTATCCATTCCATGAGTATCTTATCGTCATATTGGTGATACTAATTATGATCACTTTATGGACAATGTATTACCGTGTGTTTTGTGGCTATGTTGGACAATTATTATACATAATTAAAGCATAGATTTTATTTGATATTCATTTTATAGTATGAATAAGAATAATTTGAGTATGTTATGTAATTGTGTGAAATAAGGCATTGTTTTTTAAAGCCTCGTTGTTTTCACAGCTCACTAATTATTGTATGTTATAATTTCGTTGGAAAATCTATTGCTGATTTTTTATATCATCTGAATTTGTAAACAATTTCTTCTTTGTTGACTCTTGAAGTTTAATGTTATTGATTCCATTAAAATCTTGACATTCTTTGATGCAAATATTGTTTGGCCCTCAAATATTTGCTATCTGTAAGATGCCAATTTTCTGGGAATTCATTCTTTTCTCTTTCCATGTAATAATTCTATGTGAAAGATTTGTGATATCGCTTTTAATTTGATTTTTACCTAATTTGTTGCTTTCTGATTCCTTTTCTCTCAACCAATAAATTTTCATATTGAAATAAGTTTCGTATTAGTACCAGTCCCAATGTATAACGGTTACTAAACTTATGCAAATTTTAAACAATGATTTAAATCAATGCCACAGTTTGTTCGGTAAAATTCATAGCATTGGTGCTTTAATAGTAATTCATAGCATTGTGGAATTTTACATTGGTGGGTAAGCAGACAGAAAAATTTTGGGAAATTTGATTCAGATGATTCCGGAGGCAGTTGATAGACTTGTATTTGGTTGAAGGAATCTTCACTTATTGGTTGAACAACTTCAGTTACATATTCGCGTCTGATAGACATTTATTTAAACAATTTTATGCAAGAGTCAGATCTACTCAGTCTTATGTAGTAGATTTTAAATAATAATTTATAAGGGAAGAGATCAGTTTAAAGTTATTTAGTTCAGTTGTACTCGTGAAAAGCAGTTGTACTGCACACTGGTGATCTGGTTTTAGCGTCATGTCGAAAGAGATGACAGTTGTGATACCCATGGAAGACGGTGAACCATTGGGTGCTGTACCCAATGATAAACTTGTAATCGTTAAAGTACAGCAGGGCACCCTCGCAGATGGAAAGCTTAAGGTTGACATCTACAGGAAGCTTTCTTAAATAATGGGTTGACTGTTTGATGTAATAGCTGTATGTGTAGCTCAATGGTTGGCTGAAATTACTATTACAAAGATCACAGAAAATTAATATATTCATGTGGAAGTTACTGTAAAACCGATTTAGGAATTCCATCATTCCTGATAGGTTTTCAGGTGGGTGATCAAATTCTTAAAGTAAACGAAACAATTGTACGTGATGCGGATCATTTTTACCAGTTACTTCGTTTTGCTCCACCGGTCGCTTCAATTAGTTTAGTACGTGATGCGAAGAAAGCGGCTGAATTGGAGGCTAAAGTTCATATCCCACCAGAACGAGCTAAGTTAATCGTACGCCGCGATGGATACACTTACTTTGTATTTTTCAATTTTGCTCTTCCCTACATATACTAAAACATAAACTAATTCGAATTATTCTTTAATACTTAATATTAAGTTCAATTAATTTCTAAATCTCAATTATAAGAGGTATGAATTCAAATTTTTTTTTCGAAAAAAGAGTGGTACTTTCTGATCCACTCAGCGTCTGAGTTAAGGTTTTCAAGCTTGATCTTTACAGTGTGGTTGTAGAAAATATTGTCGAAATTACTCCACAAAAAAGAACTTTCCAATCATTGCCTTACACATTATCTTATTAGAACATAAGAAAGTTAATACTTCTGGATTGTTTGCAGTTCCGTTCTTAGGTTGCTCGAATTGACTGGAAACCTGGTGGTCCAAAGCTTGGTCTCGGTATCAAGCACTACCAAAATCGTGTATTAGTATCGCGTGCCGATCAGAATTCGCTTGCTGCTCAGCAGTTGCTAATCGGTGATCATATCATCGATATCGATGGACGACCAGTAACTGATAAAGATGTATGCCGCGAACTTCTTCTCAAAAGTCTTCAATCACAGCGTTTCGTTACAATGATTGTTGAGCGTCCGGAAACTATGGAAGCACGACATTGGGTTCAGAATGCTCTTGCTGCATCTGCAGCACAAGCTCCATCTGTTGCAATGAACAGTGACGTGCGTGAAATAGCCGCTCGAGAGAGACAAAAACTGAAGAAGATTCAACCGGTAGGTAGAATTAATAATGTTGCCAGAAAAGTTAATCCATTTATTACAAATATTTCTGGAGTTGGTTTACTCATTTTCCTGAAAATAATGTTGTGAGAGTGAGAGTTTCCTGTATTTACCGTCAATTTACAACATCAGCAATAACCTGAAGCATCCTCTGGTTGAATTTTAATAAAATGTATTTACTTTGCTAATTGACATCACAAATCTGCACTTGACATTTGACCAATAGTGCGCTCAGAAATCTTGAAATAAATGTTAAACAAGAATTTGCTTTATTGATTTTCTCGGAATATCGAAAGTATGGTATTGTAAGTGTTAAATTAAAGTTCATAATTGCTTAACCAAATTAAAATATTAACTATAATTACAGCCAAAGAAGAGCTGTATGCGAAAAACGAGTGCTCCTGGGAAACCGATCACAATTAATGAAAATAAAACATCGGAATTTATTATTGCAAGCGATAATGAAGGCAAAGTGCTTCGTCATGTTAGACGATAAATGTGATCGATCAATAATTCCCGATAGCCATCATGCGTAGTATCGGTGCTGCTTAACTGGATTTACAATCAGCGCGAACCTATGATCTATTCTTAAACATCCTCTTGTATCATTCTTATAATCACTTATGGATATTCTGCTTATATTTTATTCCCAATATAAAGGAGTAACTTGGACTTCGATCTCTGATAATTGCCAATGTGAACAAATTGAAAACTGACGAATGCCATCTTTCATAATCTGAGAAAACAGATGACAGTCTTCCGCAATTCCGGTTCACCGGTCATTTGGTTTTCCGGATACCATACCAACATTCCATGAATAAATTCATCACCTAATCTTTCAATGTCTCATTGAAAGCTTTTCTATCTTACTTGTTCCGCTTACCGGCTTTTCGACTAATCTACTATCTCGCAGAATAGTTCTTCATCTAAATTAAATGGTTAGCGATTGGATTGCCTCCCATAGCTAACCTACCATTTTTAATTTACCATTACCTACCAGCTTTCAAAAAGGAATTCCTAATTTCGATCTTTGAGTTCTGCTCCCGATGATTTCTACGATTTAAATATAGCTAGAAATGGTGAATGCCTTGGAATGCTAATTTTGTTTCTGAGAAAATAACTTTGAAATAAAATGTTTCCTTCCCACAGGAGCATTTTTCCATGGTTAGTACTATTGTACAGCAAATATTTTATTAGTCAATAAGTTCTATTAAAAAATGACTTCCAAACAATTGAAATTTTGCATCAAGTAAATGAAAGAGTTGTATTAAAGAGTTGTTCGAAGTAGTAAATGAAAGAGTTGTACGAAAGAGTTGTTTGAAGCAGTAAATGAAAGAGTTGTCTTAAGAAAAATTATTTTTTTTAAAAGATATAATGCAAGCTAACGATTATTTAAATATGCATGTCATTGAACTTCATTTAAATATGTATGTCATTGAAATATGGTCATGAAAGCAATTCTTGCACTTAACTGAAAATCTAAATAAACAATGAAGGAATCTCCACAGTATGAAACCAGAAACCAGTCATAACAAATCCAGATGAATGATAAATAATAATAATAAGCAACAGCTGTGGTACTTGTACCAACATTACTGTAAAAAATTTCATAACATCAGAAATTTGAATTTGAAAAAAAAAAGGCAGTAATATTTCATAAATATTAAAGTAATAAAAGGAACATGGGAACATAAAATCGCTTAAACTGGTAACCCTACAATAAGCACAATATTCTTTCATAAAAATCTATTGTACCTCAGTCATTACTTCTGAGAAATTGAAACATTAACCATTCATCGTACAATTAAACAGATCCGAACTACAATTTGGAAAATTTTCTTATTGGGCATTGCTTTCACTTAATCAAAGTCCAATCAGATCCTTCTAAAACCTGATTTCTGTTTGGAGAGTGTCATACCTAACTTAACTATTAATTTGCTGTATTCATTTTCACACGAATTTCAATCACTGTGATATGCAAACAAATCTCAATATCCAATATTCATGTCTTATTCTTATTCATTTGAATTTTGCTCCCATTTAAAAATTATGATAAATGAGCTAGTAAGCAAAACGAAAAAGAAGGGGAATTAAATACAACCAGTGGTAATTAATAAGAATTGTGAGGGAGATCATGAATGGAACTAAACTGGTTAAACGATAATGAAAAACTAAACTAGTTAGACGATAATAAGCAGCGAACAGTATCCAATATAAAACAAAAATCACTTTCAAAGACTCAATTAGATTCACTTCCGGTTGTGTTCTTGTCAAAACCTGTGAGCCGATTTACACGCTTATTTCGTGGCGGTGGCAACTGCAATACAAAATAAAATAAAATGCATCTGAACTATGGATTTTCACAATAACCTGACTTGAATCACTTATTGAAGTTCCACAACTCTAAATTGATTTCGCTCCTCTGTTGTATTTCCATGTTTTTCGTGATTACAGAAAATACTATCCTAGGACTTTTGTCACAACTCAATGAAACATAAATTACGGTTTAGAACGGTAAACTACATCACTTCTATCAAAGGCAGTAAACAATATTAACGAATCTTTGCAATTACTTTGGAAGCAATAAAATATATAAAAGTTAATGTAAGACCCAAAAATGTGCAAAATTCTTTCATAACAGTGGTTAAAAATTGTAAATTAGTTTGAAAAACAGCAAAAACTATAAAATTTCGACATACGTCCCACTCACTGCTTCCTGGACAAGCGACTGGTTCGCCTCTTTTATTTTCCTGTAAACAGGTACTGTGATGGGAAACAATGATATGAATGTATTATAGTCAAACTGACCAGTAATCGAAAAAAAATTACATGAAGGTCTTATCGAAAGAGCAATGTTGTAGATGATTAACGTGCTAAACAACCTACCATACTGAGGTCAGGAAATTCAGGACCGTCGGAAGAAAAGTTCTCGTGCGCTGAAAATATATTGCAGATTCAACAGAAGACGTAAAGTGGAATCTTAGCTAACATCTTATCTAATCCAACAAGATCACCAGGATGGCTGATTCAGTGCAGCAAAGCTCCTAAAAATTGACATGTGTTACTGTTCGACACAGCCAGCTTTATGACACTAACCATCTAATCCTTAGTCAACCTATAAACCTACTTAACCCACTGCTTATCCGAAATTCTAGCATAGTGGCTTACATTAACAATTCAGAGCATTGAACTATTTCCTGATTTTATATCCTCAAGTTAGGAAAAAAAAAAACAAGTTGGGAAAAAAAAAAATTAGGAAGTTAGGAAAGTGAAAATATTACAGGAAATTCTTTCAATAAATAACATGGACCTGAACCGGCAGCGTTAATATTAGGACCATATTTCCCAGATCGACGACCTTCGCTTGTACCTTTTCTTCCCCCTCGCCTACCCCAACACCCATTATTTCGATTAAAAGTTTGATGAAAAGCATTTCGAGCTTGCAAAGTACTATGTTCGTCAAGACTGTCGTTACAATTGACTTCTCCATTGCGTTCAATTGAATGATATCTGCCTTTTTCCTGGTTCCAGCAGCGGTTATTACCTCTCCTCAAAAGTTTATATGATATCCTTAACCTTTTTCATTTTATACTTTACTAAATCATAAAATTTCCAAAACTCAAAAATTTTGTATTTTGTTGTCGGAAAATCAGCAATATATATCACTACGTGACACAGAGCTATAGCATACAATGTTCTTCTTACTGTAGAACACATTAACAAACGAGAACTATTATACCTTCAGCTATTTTGAAGAACACGGGAATTGTTACCTGCTTGAGCTGCGTATATTTTTATTCGTTGAGAACGGATCCGCATTCCTGGCATTATTAGTTCGACCAAACTGTGCGAACACTCGATTTCCTTGATTTCTGTTCGTTATACCACCAAAATTAGGCATTGTCGGCATCATTATCGGCATAATCATAGGATATGGGATGCCAAATCCACAAATACCTGGCCTTTAGCAAAGAAATTCATTTCTCATATTCTACATCTACCTCACTGAAAGTGATTTTGAAATTCTCATCTACATCTAACTTTTTCCTATTTTTCCGAATTTATGCTTCAAATTTTAACAAAATGAAGTACTCAATGGACTTCATTTGTGCGCTGTACTATAGATCTGATGGTTTAATGCTAACTAGAGCACCAAAAAATAAAACGTCCTTACAGCTTACTTGTCGGAATCAACTTCGTTTTATTTCCTAGTTGCAACATTTAGTTTACTTTTATACCATAATGAAATATGTAAATCAAATCTTGCAAAAAGTTAACAAACCAGCTATTAAAAGGCATACTGTTTGCCATCATTGTACTCATCAGAGAATTTCCACGCACTGCTTCACCAAAGCTAATATTTCTTAGAAAAGCTCTCGTAAATACGTCGCTAGTATATTGCAGTGATGAACAAGAATACAGTGGGCCAAATAAATTGCCTTAAAAAGGTACTACGAAAATCATAGGATCATGAATCTAATCAAGTAAAGAGTATGTCAAAGCCTCTGGGCGTGTTCTCTTCTACATTAGAAAATTCATCATAGTATTCATTAGGATTATTTGGTGCTTTCAATTCAATATTCGAGATGGCCAAACTTCAATTGAAGTTGTGCTCAGTTCCTTATGCATTATTATAAAAAATTTGTATTTCTCTTTCTTTAAGGATATAACTAAACCATATATCCGTCGCATGCCAAGCAGATCTGAACAATGAGGACATTCCAAAAAAATTTTAACGAATTTTATCAGCCTGTTTAGCTCCAAAAAACTCAAACCCAGAAAATTCGAGTTGTTCAAAAACTCTCTTCCTCTGATTACTCCTAATACACTTCTTCTCTTTATATATATATATATATATATATATATATATTCTCACTAACCTAAAAC